GATATTCTTTACCCGCAGATTTCTATTTCAATAATGTTGTAACTGTAACTGAAGTGAACTGAAATTGTAAACCTATTTCGTTTAAATGTACTAATTTTATTAATTATGAACCTCTTAATGATCAGTTTTAACTTAAGACTAATATTTACGATATGTTTATAAAATTTTTATAATTATAACCAGATAAATTTAATTTAAAAAAATTATTGAAGTCTCAAGGAGAAAACTATTAACTTTGAAAAAATCCGCTTACGAGTATTTGTGTCTATTTTATAAGATAAGCAAAGTAAATTAATAAAAATATATTTTTGTAATAATCTATCTTAGCTAATACTTTTATTAAATTTAAAAAATAACTGAAAACTCAAAACAAATGCATTTAGAATATTTATTTAAACAAACAGTAGCCACCTGAATGATATCTAATCTCTATGACAGAAACTCGAGCACGAAAATGAACTTTTCATAGTCACAAATAAGCAAAAGTTTGAACTTCTTTATAAGTTCACAGATAAAAACTTACACAAATAAGCATTTTTTATAAAATATAATAAGTTTTAAAAGATAACTGAGGACGGACTTCACAGATGTCATAAGATGACATTCAAAATCTGTGAAGATTAATATACTGTATGACAAGATCGGCTTAATCGAATGAAAATGCAAGTTACCAAAGAAAGGCATGTCGAAAGAATGCGAATTAAATGAGCATATAGATATGTTTTATAATACGAGCATAAATATTATTTACAATATATGGTATTAATTATTTTATTTAATTAGCAAAAAAATAATTATTTAATTACTTTAAATCTTCTCGGTGGTCCAAAATATAATGCTATGAAATTTCAGTCACTTTATTTTTCATACAAAGTAGTACCTTATTAGACTTTTGAATAATACAGGGTGTTTTTTAAGTGGTGTAAGATTTTAAAATATAACGGAGCAAACTCCATTCGAGGGAGTGATTCAAATAACTTTTTATTCACACATAACTTAAGGGCATCATTAATAAAAAAAAATGATTTCGGAACTATTTTGGAACACTAAATTTCAATAACATTTATTACATATAAGGCTATATCTTACGAATGTTGCATTAGTATTTTTTTCCAAAACTGACTTCGATATTGATGATGTCATACCCTAACCATAATTCAATGATTTTCTTCATTAAACATATTTTGACAGCGGTACATCGTACTATTAGGAAGTCCATGCCACTTTTCGGTTTATAAAGACACTAATCAATCTCTTGCTTTAATAAATTACGATTTCTCTGATAGTTTAAGGCGCAACACAGGCATGGTTTATTTTTGAAAAAACAACAATAGTTCATTGCTCAATACACAATACCATTAACTCATCAATTCCGATTTTCATTATTGTTACAAAATCACTTAGAACTATTAAAATACCAGGGAATTTATTTTATTTTTGTGCGGTTGGGATACCTACGGAATGTCTACGTATTGACTATAATGCGGCAAGTGAGTGCTAAAAATTTTATAAAATGTAATCTCAATACTTACAAGTATCAACACTGTACATTGTTTAATAGATCTTACATCCAATGTATACTGCATGAGCTTCTCTGTTTCTTTGCAGCACTTAATGAAAAGGGAATGCAAATATTATATTAAGCTGACACTGTCTATTAGATATTACATTTTATGGCTATTGCGTAAACTGCGGTGATGAAGAAAGACAAGACTATTAATCTCCTACTCTTTATCTTTCCAGTGCTGGATGACAATACTGGATTGTTATCAAACGGTGTACATCTCAAGTGTTTCCAGCATTTCTTCGCCAAAACTACAGCAGTTTATTATATCAATAGTTAATATAAGCTCTAGTTGAACTATCAATAGTTCAATGATTATTGTATGATTTAGGGATCTGTATGATTAATTGGTATTACAATGGCCTAATTTGTCCTTCATGTGTCGATTGTCAACTTAAGCAGCCAATACCCACATTCATCTACCTACCTATCTGTAGTCAATCTTTGGATAGCTATATGAGGCAGGTTTAAATAATAATTAAACGAAATTAACTTGTTAAATTATTAAAGGAAATACTACCCTTCTTTGTAGAGTTACTACTTCAGAGTATTATAATATATTCAGTATTTACTCTTCAATATATCATATTTATTTTTTTGAGGCATATAATTAATTGTATTAAGTTCAGCTTAATTATTTTGTTTTATTCCTGTAATTACAATATTTTAATTAAAATATTAAATTAATTTTACTTTGTTTTCAACTAAATGCCATATAAAATATATTTCACGCCAAGAACACAAATGAAGCTTGAAGCTATGCAATTAATTGAACGGAAACTAACAATCTGGTTCCAAGTGCAGAACTAATAAAGTATCTGCTACTGACAGCCACTGGCAATGGATGCATCGAGACGAAGAACTTATTTAGTGTAGTCATTGTTGCATTTGTTGGCTACTTTTTTTTGTTATTGTTTTGTTTTTCAGACAATGTGTATATTGCACTTTACTTTATTTTGCAACAATTGAAGGTCGTCTCAGAAATGGTAACAAGAACAATAACAGCAACAACAACAACAACAACAATTTATTTAAGCCAAATATCAAAACAATGCTTATAGCAAGAAACGAAATACACGAATTGCATAGCTATTTTGTTGTATCTGTGAAAAAATATGCAGATATGTGAAAAAAATCGTTACAATAATTGTTATTATTATTATTTTAGTTAAATATTGTGTTAGTTTTTCTTAGCTTAAATTTTTTATAATGTAAATATATATTAAATGATTCTCAAGCAGTGGTGGTAAATCGAAAATTGTGTAAATAAATTATTACGAGAAGCTTATTGACGGTTTGCTAAATACTAGAATGAGTGGTTATACTCGTATTTATTATAAATTTAAAAAAATATTGTTAAATTCTTTTATACATTTTAATCTGAGTTATTAACTAAAATATCACCAAATATATAATAAATACTTAAATTGATTTTTAACTTCTGTCTTAATGAAAGAAACACTATATTCCTTATATACATTACTGTTTTATATAGAGAGGTTTTTTAGCATTAATAATATTGCAACAACAAAAATTTTTTTTACTATTTTTAATAAATTGAATTTTTGGCCGTTTCGAGTATTGCCAAATACCTATCATCAGTAGTTTCTTTTAAATTATTTCTTATATTTAATTATTCATAAATAATATTTTTGAAACTTCAAGTACCAAGGGTTAAATTCGTACCCTGCCGAATTGAAAGCACAAAGTCGGTGTTTATTAGCGAAACTTGGATTTTTATTAATTTGCTTTGAAAGTTTATTAAATTTATATATATTATTAAATAAATACTTATATAATAATACAAATCTTAAAATCAAATATGCAAATATATATATAATTATATTTAAATTTATTATATTTGAAAATATTAATAATGTAATAATATTTTTAATTGAATTTTGAAGCACCATACAGTTATATCAAATATCGCAACATTTACTATTAGTAGTCTTTAATATTTATTTATCGGGTTAATAGGAAATTTCTAACAGGAAATCTTTAACAGAAGATCTATGGCAGAAAATCTCTAACTCTCTCTGTTAGAGAAAGTTTCTTAATATTAGCTGAGTCCAGAGCTACCTCTCTTCCTCTCACTCAGAGTTAAACAAATTGAATAGTCATATAAAATGTGTCATAAACATCTCACTTACTTCTCAGTTAGGCATATCTTATCTCGGTAATTACTTCCATTGACTTTTTAGGAATTCCGTTAGCATTCTTAATTCTGATCTATTAATGCAAAGAGTTTCTTTATAAGTAAATATATAAATTTAGTTTGTAATTTAACAGTTATATGTACCATCACACTAATGCAAGAAAAGATAGTGCAGAGAAAGATCAATTTGAAAATTGGTACTTCTAATTAAAAATGAATGGAAATATTTCGTTGTTTATTTGATAACTTCATTAGTACTTTTTTTTACAAAAAAATTATCATACCAGTTCTCATCTGATCGCCGATTAACCAAATTTCTTATATCATTTAATAAGACGATAAACAAAATAATAAGATCCAGATAGAGACAAAGTGTTATACAAAGATGAAATGCTTGCTTTTCCATTACTCTGATAAATGTACTTAGCGAAGATGAATTTGTTGTTCATGCTGGCATTGACCAGGTTTAATGTACTCACCTTTTACCTTGTATGCCTACAAACTATATCCACTTCCTTCCCACTAGGCTGTAGATTTACAGAATATAGGTTATCAAAAATTGCGAATATGAAAAATTACAACTTTACTACTTCTACAAATCTTTAACGCCACTGTTCAGAACAGAACACTGTTACCGTTAAACTTTAAATACAAGCAAGTACAAATCGCTGTCAGAGTAGTACGTAAATAAATTGTATATATTCTTATTTACATAAAAATAAAATCAAAAGTTCTTTGCATACATTCTGATGCTCACGTGACAATCGCAAGTTTGGCGCTGCAATTGTGCAACTCTTCAGAGCACCTCGAGCAAAAAAAACCAACTGTGACAGAACTGAAGAATACAATGAAATTCGATTTTTGAGCTAGAAAAATCGGATGTTTACATTGGATGTTCTAATAATCCACAAGTAATAGCAACAATCTTGGTGTTATTGAATGCCTTCTAGCAGCGGAGGTAGCGGAGTGTTAGATATGTACATACATAATGAATGCGCATCGTGCAAAATGCATATGCAACGAAAGTAACAGTTGCCGCGGTAATTGGTTTTGCCACAGTTGCATTGACATCAAATTACTGTTGCACTAATACCGATGTTGCTGTTGCTGTTCTTAGTGTTGTTGTTGTATGTGTTACTATACATAGTTGCAACAACAACAATAAGGCTGAGATAAAATTAATTTTAAATATTCGCATAAGATAAACAAAAATAATATAAAAGACCGCACATGAGTTACTAGTAGCATCAGTTGTCGTTTCTATTAGCATTGGAAGTGGTTCTATCACCAGCAGTGTGGTACCAAAAGAATACTCTTAATTCTACAGGACCTGTTGTATATATAAATAAACATGTTGAAATCGGTAAGAACAAATTTCTAGTAAAGTGATTATAATATACAAAAATATTCATATTAAAATGAAAAGGTGGAAAGGATATCTTAAGGATTATATTTTTAAAAAAAGAATGTAAAACAAAATGTTGGTCAATCTAGGACTTCAACTTGATTGATCTAATAGTCAGTGATAAAAAATCGTATTTTAGTGTAAAAACGGGTGAAATTTAAAACCAATCGGAAAGATCGCAATGTTATATATATATTATATATGATAATTATATCAACAGATAGATTTATCGATTAAGCTTATAGCATAACCAACGTTTTGCCTACAATTTTTGAATATATTGACGTGTTTAGAACACGTGCATGACTTTGTGATTAATTTAATCCTTAAGTAGCCTGACTGTTTATTAGAATATAAAAAGGAAGTGTTAACATATTCCTTATAGTAAATTATACAAAAAAATGTCTTGCTTCAAAAAAAGTTAAATGATTTAAAAATATTTTACAAACCGAAAAAATATCTGTTTAAAATGTTAAAATTGAAAGTTAAATATGATGCATCTTATGACGAGAAGAAACTATTTGAAAGTAGAACGGTTCGAACAGTAATGAAGCAACAACAACAAAAATTTTAATTGATTTATTGAAAATTGGCTGGCCATACCACACTGTTTTGAGTATTCCCAAGACTCGTATTTTTTAAACTTATTATTAAAATCCTATTATTAGACGATATTTTTAAAAACAATCTAGCCCACACAACATAAAACAATCTAAATATACACAATCCCATTAACAGACACCATCTTTAAGCTGAAATACAATTTGAAATACTTCTACTGAGATTTCTCAATCTTAATTCTATAACAAAAAATAAATGTAAAACTAATAGTTTATCCTTTTTTACTTCACTTACTTTCTTTACAGATGCTTCTGCTTTTATTGTCTGCATTCCTTGCATTTGCTTCAGCTCGTCCGGGCTTCTTGCATGACCATCACCACATTGACTATCCATTGCTACATCACGAACCGTTACATATCGCTAAATACGTGCATGTGCCAGCAGCGGTTTCACATCAAAGCTCAACTGTCATACACACAGCTCCACATCATATTGTCAAACCAATTGTTCTGCCCGTTGTGAAACACGTGGTGCACCCAATCATCAAGACATACCATCCTGCACCTATCATCAAGGCTTATCACCCACTACCATTGCATTTGGATCATCATGCATATCATCATGACTTCCATCATTATCATCATTAAAGTGATACGAATTGATTGAATGCTTTTACGACAACGGAAAATGTCCTTTGGTAGCCTTTGAAATTATTTTTAGCTTGTATGATTTGGTGCTCTTAACATATTATTTATATTACATCAGCCGATTTTCACGTTTTGTACATATACAAATTTTTTAATAGTAGATAACGAAGAAGATAGAATGTATGACAAGTGCATAGTTTAATTGTTTAATAAAAAACATATCAAAAAAAAAAATTACAGTGAATTTATATTGAAGAAAAAGTTAGGGATTATAAAGCAATTTAAATATAAAATCGAAAGCGTTAAAAAATTTATATCATATATAGTATACCATTTTCAATACTATTCTATATAATCATCACTTTATATTAATATTTTTTTTTGCTTAATATATAAAGATAAATTATATCATATAATGGCATATTCTATATTAAAAAGCCTTCTTCCTATATATGCTAAAAATTTAGAATTTTTGTTTTTGATTTCTCAACGATTTTAGTGTAGTTTGAGACTGCAGATCTCAAATCTGCAATCTTTTCGTCTAGTAGACATGTGGATCTTTAGGAGTTTTTTTTTATTTTAGCAGTTACGCATTTCAAATTTTCAGTAAACTTGCTACAAACAAATAGATTACCATTTTAAGCTTAGACATTCTCTGCTTCCCAAATACCTCTTCTTTCCTCTGAAAGGGAGGAATTTTTTATATATTTCTTAAAACCATTTTGTAGGAAAATGCCGTCAAGAAAACTAAGAAATTACTTTAAAAAAAAATTTTGTTGAGTAAAATAAGGATTTTGAAATAGAGGAGATCATAGAACAATATAATCTTCTAAGGACCCTAATCTAATCTTCTAATTTTTATGTTGTAAGAGATACGGATTCCATGTCTTCTCCAAATTTTCTACAAATAAAAAATTTGTATTTTTTTTGGCAGCTTTTTCAAAATCTCTTCTAAAAGAAGGAATTACACCATAATTATATGTTAATTATTAATGTAGGACAGTCAATAAAACTAGATCATCTTAAACTTTAGCAAAAATTTTAGTGATAGTATATTGAGTATATTACGTTCATAACCATATCGAATCATCGATCTTGCTTCATGAGCTAGATAGTTGTCATCACAGATGGTTTTTTCATGTCTATGCAACTCCTTGCAGTGACTAAAACACTAGTTTAGCATAACCCTGCAGGGTTAGTGCCTGCTGTTAATTCAACAGCAGTTGAACTTAGGAGTTTTTTAAGTGAATTACCATCGTTTTTGCTCCTTAATATTATTGGTGTTTAATAGACCTACATAATTCGTATCGCTTAAAGATCATTCAAATATTTTGTACCGATATATTGAAGGACTTCTTTATTTATAATATGATATACTTATTAAACATGCTTTTATACCATTCAAATCGCTGCATTAAAGTAGAAGTGAGTCAGAATTTTGATTCAAATGAATCGGTTTTGTTTAAAACGAAATTTTGATATGGTCCTGACACCATATTTTAAAAAATTGAAAAGTATACACTTTTAAGTCAAAATAAAAATAAACTCAGTAATTTTTAAAACAATTTATGATTCATTTTTTTTAAAAAATAATTATATAACTAAACTTCTAACGATTTTAAAAATTCTGCTTGTCACATTTCTTCCCTTCAATCTAGTTTACAACTTGTCCTTTCAAAGAACCCTATACACCTAATTCAATTAGAATGAATTGTATATACCGCATGATTTCTTGTTTTGAAGACGTTGTTTTCAACACATTTTCAGTACATAATTGGTCTTATTGTCTATTAAGTTATGTGCTTTGAGAAAAATGTCCAATCATCGACCCATCTTTAAATATATTGTTTCAGAACTGAATTATATTGATAACAAAAAAACTATCTCATAATCGAGGAATAAAATCGAGCATATATATGCGTTTCTATTTTTATAGAAATGAGTAAGACTTATGGAAGGAAACAAGTGAAGGTTTCCAAATATCAATTAAAAAGAGTGAAAAAGAATTAAAGATCATCAGTTGTTCTTAATTATATGAAAAACAAAAGATTGTAAATATCGAAGCCTGTAACGATTTGACTCTTGAGATTACAACTTTCGCAGCTGTTTTCATTAGCGAACATTGAAATTATCAAATCAGAACTCTATTTACAAAAACTTCTACTTTGGAACGTGCAACTTTAATTAATTAGATTTCAAAACAATTGTATATATTTACTTTATCGTCTTACTTACTTACTTAGTTGGCCATTACATACGTGGGTCGTCCTTGGCCGCGTCGAGTAGCCTCCGCCAGTCAGCCCAGTACCTTTGGTCCTTCCACCGAAGATGTGGACGTCCACTGCCGCGTTTTCCACCTGCGGGTACCGCATCAAATACCTTTCTAGCCGGAGCACTTTCTTCCATTCGCACGACATGACCAAGCCAGCGTAGTCTACTTTATCATCATAAGTTGTAAAGTTTCACTATTCTTACGTCCAATAATATTAAATAAAACTATGCTAACTTATTTTTTATATAAGTAAGTTCAGTTATAAATAAATTTTTTTTTTAACGTACTTCCTTGCAGCGCTAGCTTAATTTAATCCATACTTAAAAAATTTTAAGAAATGTGATTTCAGTTATTTTCATTCATAAAATTTATCTTTCCTCAAATCCATTCCAAAACATTTCTTAGAAAAATTAATACATTAAATAACTCAATTATCCAAGGAATCACTATTTCTCTTAAAGCAAATTACATATCTAACACAATTATGAGCTACATAATCAGTCTTGAGAATTGGAAAGTATGTAACTTTTTTATTGGCACTAGCAAAAATCAAAATATCTACCAATAATACTACCAATTATATAAATATAATTTCCAATGATTAT